TCACCGGGCTGTACGTGTGTTGAACGCGGAGGTGCCGTCCGTTCGGCACTAGGATCTCCGGTGATTTGGATCACGACGAGTACGACTCCTTCAACCCGTTCTCTTGAACGCTTCCGCTTAGCGATCTACAAGGGTATGTAGATGCACTCTCCTTCCCCTCGTTGCTGGTTTCTCCATAGATAGATCTTGGTGACACGTAGGAAAATTTTGAATTTCTACTACGTTCCCCAACACATATCACATCACAACATGCCCTGCAAAAACAAGTTAGACGTCATCTACTTTGTTGTTGCAAGTTTTATGTGGCTGCTATGGGCTGAGCAAGAACCGTTCTTACCTACACATCAAAATCACTACGATAGTTTGTCAAGTTAGTGTTGTTTTAACCTTCTCAAGGACCGGGCGTAGCCATACTCGGTTCAACTAAAGTTGGAGAAACTGACACCCGCCAGCCACCTGTGTGCAAAGCACGTCGGTAGAACCAGTCTCGCGTAAACGCACGCGTAATGTCGGTCCGGGTCGCTTCATCCAACAATACCGCCGAAACAAAGTATGACATGTTGGTAAGCAGTATGACTTGTATCGCCCACAACTCACTTATGTTCTACTCGTGCATATAACATCTACGCATAAACCAGACTCGGATGCCACTGTTGGGGAACGTAGTAATTTCAAAAAAATCCTACGCACAGGCAAGATCATGGCGATGCATAGCAACGAGAGGGAAGAGTATCGTCCACGTACCCTCGTAGACCGTAAGCGGAAGCGTTATGAGAACGCGGTTGGTGTAGTCGAACGTCTTCACGATCTGACCGATCCAAGTACTGAACGCACGGCACTTCCGAGTTCAGCACACGTTCAGCTCGATGACGTCCCACGAACTCCGATCCAGGAGAGCTTCACGGGAGAGTTTCGTCAGCACGACGGCGTGTTGATGGTGATGATGTTGCTACCGGCGCAGGGCGTCGCCTAAGCACCGGTACGATATGATCGAGGTGGATTATGGTGGAGGGGGGCACCGCACACGGCTAAGGGATCAATGATCAACTTGTGTGTCTAGAGGTGCCCCCCTGCCCCCTTATATAAAGGAGCAAGAGGGGAGGTCGGTCGGCCCTCTATGGCGCGCCAGGAGGAGGAGTAATCCTCGTAGTAGGAGTAGGACTCCCCTCTTTCCTACTCCTACTAGGAGGGGGAAAGGAAGGGGGGCACCGCCCCCTCTCCTAGTCCAATTCGGACCAGAGGGGGAGGGGCGCGTGGCCTGCCCTAGGCCAGCCCTCTCTCTCTCCACTAAGGCCCATAAGGCCCATTATCTCTCCCGGGGGGTTCCGGTAACCCTCCGGCACTCCGGTTTTCTTCGAAATCACCCGGAACATTTCCGGTGTCCGAATATAGTCGTCCAGTATATCGATCTTTACGTCTCAACCATTTTGAGAATCCTCGTCATGTCTGTGATCATATCCGGGACTCCGAACTACCTTCGGTACATCAAAACACAAAAACTCATAATACCGATCGTCACCGAACTTTAAGCGTTTGGACCCTACGGGTTCGAGAACTATGTAGACATGATCGAGACACGTCTCTGGTCAATAACCAATAGCGGAACCTGGATGTTCATATTGGCTCCCACATATTCTACGAAGATCTTTATCGGTCAAACCGCATAACAGCATACGTTGTTCCCTTTGTCATCGGTATGTTACTTGCCCGAGATTTGATCGTGGGTATCTCAATACCTAGTTCAACCTCGTTACTAGCAAGTCTCTTTACTCATTCTGTAATGCATCATACCGCAACTAACTCATTAGTTACAATGCTTGCAAGGCTTATAGTGATGTGCATTACCGAGTGGGCCTAGAGATACCTCTCCGACAATCGGAGTGACAAATCCCAATCTTGATCTATGTCAACTCAACAAGTACCATCGGAGACACCTCTAGAGCATCTTTATAATTACCCAGTTACGTTGTGACATTTGGTAGCACACAAAGTGTTCCTCCGGTAATCGGGAGTTACATAATCTCATAGCCATAGGAACATGTATAAGTCATGAAGAAAGCAATAGCAGTAAACTAAAACGATCAAGTGCTAAGATGATGAGATGGATCAAGTCAATCACATCATTCTCCTAATGATGTGATCTCGTTTATCAAATGACAACTCATGTCTATGGTTAGGAAATATAACCATCTTTAATCAACGAGCTAGTCAAGTAGAGGCATACTAGTGACAATCTGTTTGTCTATGTATTCACACATGTATCATGTTTCCGATTAATACAATTCTAGCATGAATAATAAACGTTTATCATGATATGAGGAAATAAATAATAACTTTATTATTGCCTCTAGGGGCATATTTCCTTCAGAGATCACACCGTTAGTGTACGCCAAGATCAAGCCATGGATTGGGGCCTCTAGAACGGTTGCGGACGCCATGGTAGGGGCTTGGACGAGAGATCTTGGCCTAGACCTCACTCATGCCGAGCTGGCCCAATTCCTCTTGCTTTGGGACATACTAGCCCCAGTGGAGCTTCATGCAGGAATCGTCGATTCGGCCTGTTGGGCGTGGGAGACCTCATGCGCTTTCTCGGTTCGATCGGCTTATGCCAGCAAGTTCATTGGGCATGAACACGACATTGCGGCAAGCTTCACTTGGCGCTCCAAGGCTCCTATGTGGTGTAAATTCTTTACCTAGCTAATCCTCAAGAACAAAATTTGGACCTCTGACAGGATGGTGAGGAGGGGCTTGCATCTTCTCCCGCATGGTGTGGTTCAAGGCTCTCTCAGCCTGGGGGCATGGTGAGTGGGTTCCCAGACAAGCTGATCGCCTCCTGCCATGGTGCTCAACACTTGCCATGTTTTCGAGGCACCCAAAGGACATCAACACTTTCGTGACTCTAGTGCTCTGGGAGACGTGGAAGCACCGCAATGTGGTGGTCTTTGACGGTGCTACTGCATCCGTGCGGGACATCCTTCGCCAGGTTATGCAGGTCACATCAGAGTGAGTTCAGGTAGGGTTCTTCAAGGTTGACATGGCCCCTTGTTTGCTTGAGTTGTCTATGAGGGCAGTTAGGGAAAATTAGCCTTTTGTAATATGAGCTTTGTCCCATGGGCCAAGGCGTAACTTTGTGGACCGGTGTTCTTTCACCTCTCTCTTCCTATCAATATATGAAACGCATACTCATGTGCTTTCTCGAGAAAAAAAGTGTTAGAGCAACTTTGGTAGAATCGTCAAGAATATGGATTGCCATAATCATGATGGAGGTGATTGCTAGGAATATGGAGACTCTAGATTCCACGCGCAATCTCAGAATTGAAAAAAAATACAACCTCCAAAATTTCCATGTGTGTGGGACCTATATGTCGTTGGTTAACTCTTTCCCCCAATTCCCCACTCATCAACGCACAATACGCATAGTTTTTGCTTTGAACGATAACAGATTCATGTAAAATAGAATTACAAGCGATTTCATTCATAGAAAGGGGTGGAAAATGAGTCACACCACGACTTTTATTAGTATAGACAACCAAATAAACTAACTTTTCTCAAAAAGTAAAAATAAAAATAAAAAGTAATTAAACTAGTTGTGGTTGTAACAGGCATGACTTGTCGGTGCGATATGCGGCATTGGCAGCATCAATCTCGTGGAAACGGGCCAAGGTAGCCTTATCCCATGCCGAACATGCGCGGGCGCCAACATTGCGGGCCTCGGCGGAGAGGAGCGGTCTAGGGCGGGTGCATCCCACTTCAGCCATGTGCCATTGTCTACGGTGGCCTCTGGGGCGACTATACGGTCCCAAATCCGGCGGTCCCTCTCAGCATCCATCTTCCGAGTAGCCTTCATGTCGAGATCACATGCAAAAAAAATAGAACATGTATACAATTAAATGAAGGCTTCTCCCCCAAGCCGCTCCTGCGAGCGTCCTCGGGGGAAACCCTAGCGCCACCCATCTTCCTTCTCCCCCGGCCTCTCTCCCCTCCTCCGCCGGGCAAAGCCCGACCAACGTCGGTGGCGGCGGGGGTCTGTTTCCTCTCTTCTTGGCGGCGGCTGGCGCGGGATTGCGTAACGTGCTTAGACATTATGCTGATGCGGGGCCCAGCGGCGTGGCGTCGGGCGCGATGGGTGGCGACGGCTTTGCATGGCGGCGGTGTAGCGGCGTCTTGTGGCCCTGGCGGTGTGCGGCGGCTGTGAGCGGCGTCTTCTCGTGTGGTGTCGTGCAGGACGGTCCCGGCCAGATCTGGCCGATCTAGCGTCGGTGACCCGTCATGCAACGGGGCTGCGTGCAACCTGGGTCACGAGCGACCTGCTCTGCCGTGGCTCGGATGTTGGCCGGCTATCATGGACGTGAAGGCGCGCGTGGTGGTTGGCGATTGGCGGTCGGTGGTGGTTGTACGGCAGTATGCCCGTACCATGTTTCAGGCATGGATCGGGATCGTGTGAGCTGGGGGTGAAAACCTTGTCTGTCTTTGGATAGGCCATCGGTGAGGCGCCCGTGGGCGTCATCCTTCTTGAAGGCATCGTTGTGGCTGCTCGATCCTCTTTGAGACACTCCGAGTGAAATCTCAAATCACTTTGATCGGGCGGTGGCGCCGCAACGGTGTCGTGCCCTTCCTCAACACACCACTTTGGTGGCCTCGACTTATCGATGTTCGGCCGTTTACCTCAAATGGTGCTTTGTTGTTTATCGTTCTTCTTATTTGTGGTGTTTGGGGTGTAGCTGATCTTCAGGATCTACCTATCTAGCCTAGAACGGCAAGACCAGCGTCCGACGAGGAGACGTCCATCCGATCGAATCAGTTTCTGTGGTTGGTTTCCAGGAAGCGGCTCTTTCTCTTGTCCAGCTTTGAAGCCTGACAGAAGCAGGCATTCTCTTGTCCAGCTTTGAAGCCTGACAGAAGCAGGCATCTAATTTGCCAATCTAGTCAACCGAACTCGGTCCGTACTTATCGGCAGCCCATTGTCCCATCCAGACTTCCGGCACCACTGTACTGTACCAATGTCAGAGCAGCAGTTTCCTGGTACTACCATCACTCCCCACTCCCCAGAGTTCACGGAGTCCAGCGTGAGCGCTCGGCGCAGCAAATCGGCAGCCATGGCCGCGGCGGCTCTCACCCTCCTGCTGCTGGTGCTCCTCCCGGCGCGCCATGCTCTCGCCACGGCGGCCGGCGACGCGCACCCGGGCTACGCGGGCGCGGAGGCCGACACCTGCGGGGCGGCGCCCGGCGGCTCTCCCCCTTCCGGAGGAGGCGCGGCAGGCCGGCGCCACGGCCCGGCGCTGGAGGAGTACGGGGGCGGGCGCATCGTGGACATCACGCACGCGTACCGCCCCAGCATGCCGGCGTTCGCGCCCGGCGCGACGGTCGGCCCCCTCGTGCGCCTCAAGGCGTCCATGGAGGACGGGTCGGAGTACAACCTGTCGGAGCTCCGGATGGAGTGCCACATGGGCACCCACGTCGACGCGCCGGGCCACATGAACCAGGCCCACTTCGCCGCCGGCCTCGACGTCGACACGCTCGACCTCGATGTCCTCAACGGTGAGCTGAGCGTCCCTGGTTTTCTCCGATCGGCGATCAGAACTAGGCTTTGACCATTTTTGTCAGTCTCCGGCCTGCCGTCTTTGCACATATATATGATCACCTTGGTTAAATGGTTGGCTAGATGATGAGATGGGGAATTCTAGATGCCAATTCATAGAGGCAGCACGGCAGCATGGATTGCGGCCGCCTGACATCATTTTCTTGTAGCTGATGTCCTCTGAATCTGATTCGGAGTAGCTGTAGAACAAACTCTGTCCATTAAAATTGTTTAAAAAGGACAAAAGACTCTTGTTCATTGACAATTAGCATTTTCTATATATTTTTCCGAAAGATTTCCCTGCTAAACTTCATTGAAATTAGCATTGACAATTGACTTACTCTTGTTCCTGGACAGGTCCTGCCTTACTGGTCGATGTTCCAAGACGCACAAATATAACAGGTAGGGTGTGGGGGAAGTCTTCTCTCTCTTTTTACAGGGAGCTCAGCTCTTCTATTGCATCAATGATGATGAATCACCCAGCTAATGAACTTCTTCTCATATCATGTCACAAGATTAATTTAACATGACATGAAAGAAACATGTGCATTACTAATGTGGTTATGTATTCAGATATTGGTTTCTCCATAGAATTCATCCTGTTTGATACAAATCCAGTAAGCTGATATTCTTACTAAAACCAACATCTGCATTTTGAAAAAAAAAATTGAGTGCTGATATTCTTACTAAAAATATTTGATTCACATCCACGTTGTCTAGTATTTGATATATGATGCCCCACTAATTCTATGCAGCTGAATCCATGAAATCCCTAAATATACCGAAAGGTGTTCGTCGTGTTCTCTTCAGGACATTGAACACAGACAGGTATGACCTCTTTAAGAAGAGATATTCAAGTAGATGCTACATTCTTCACCATATCGCCAGTCGATCTTTCTATAGGCTGTATTGAACATGTAAGTAAGCAGATGATATGTAGGGGGCTCATGTGGAAGGCAGCTGGTGATATGAGTTATGTTGGATTTACAGAGGATGGTGCACAGTGGTTAGTTGACAACACGGACATCAAGCTAGTTGGTAAGTATACGGGAGCTGTATTCGTATTATAACATATTTGCTAGAACCATGTGCAATTGTGAACTACCTAGGTTCAGTTGGTTCATGCCCTTTGGTGGCTCAATATATGCATTTACTTGCCTTATCTGGTGTGAACCTAACATATGACATTGGCAATTCTGCAGGGATTGACTATATATCAGTTGCTGCATTTGATCATTTGATCTCTGCCCATGTGGCCTTCTTCAAAAATGCGGTAAGAATAAGATGCTGCCCTTTAATGATCTCAAAGAATGTGAATTTGAAGCCACCCTTGACTGGAGCCTTGGTTCCACAAATTCCTTGCTAACCAACCTCTTTTGGGGCTACAATGTTTCTATACACTATTTTGATGCTTCTCTAGAGAACATTAAATTCACATATCAGTGATGAACTTACCGTCTTAGCGATTGCACTATTGATTGAAACTACCGGTTGGTTTACTTACTCTGTTCTGTCAGGATATCATCCTAGTCGAAGCCCTGAAACTAGACAACGTGAAGACTGGACTATACACGCTGCACTGCTTACCTCTGAGACTGGTTGGCTCTGAGGGCTCACCAATTAGGTGCATTCTTATCAAGTGATCACCCATGGTGCATTCTTATCCGAGTGGCTGCTCTTGCCAAAGGCCGCAACGTATCGTGCCCGCAGATGCTACAATATCTTTGTCCACGGTCCATCCTAGTGGAAAAAGAGAATGCCTCTTGTCATGCATACAAGTTTGTATTGTAAAATGAACAAAAGAAATATAGCAGTACTACGAATAAGCAAGTACTGCAAGACAGACTTATAGCGACTCGTGTCAGTCTGTAACCAATGATGAACCACACGAATTTGTTAGCTGTATAATTTCCAACCGGGTTCAGTAATTTTCAAGTGCATCTTCCTCTCAGGCAGTTTCTGCAATATTTCGACTCGACTCGCCTGCTACCGTTGCTGATACGTTGGACTGTTCTCTGTAATGCTAGCGTGCCATACTGTTGTAATATGTATATCTGCAGACCCCGCAAAAAAAAAAATATGTATATCTGCAGCTACGTTTCTTGTAAAGCAAAATAAGTTGCATGCCGGTGAACATGTGTAAGTAGTACAATCTTTTGATATGAGTTCTCATTCTTCCTCTGGGTGTACATGGATGAGTGATACAACAGGTGCACGGATGGTTGACAGATACATACTATTTGCCGGGGAGTGTTTGAACAGTCTAAAATCCTGTGGTTTTCAGACACCGCCCCTCTCACTGTCCGTTTGTCTCAATCTCAACCAGCCGGCCTGAGAAAAGCTCGGTGCGTGCTTGCTCCATTCATCAGCATTGTATTGACCACCAGAAGTCAAGGAAAGAGCTGCAACTTGCAGTAACCATCACAGCCCAGAGAGTCCGCAGTCAGCCCTCGGCGGCATGGCGGGCCCGCCAGCTCTCACCTTCCTCCTGCTGGTCCTCCTCCTCCCGGCACACCAGGCTATCGCCACAGCAGCCGGCGACGCGCACGGCGGGCCGGCGGCCGGAGGCGCGGCAGGCCGGCGCCATGCCCCGGGGCTGGAGGAGTACGGCGGCGGGCGCATCGTGGACATCACGCACGTGCCGTCCGACGCGGCGGCGGGGCCCCTGGTGCGGCTCAAGGAGTCGATGGAGAACGGGTCGGACTACAACTTGTCGGAGCTCCGGATGCCCTGCCACATGGGCACCCACGTCGACGCGCCGGGGCACATGATCCAGGCCCACTTCGCCGCCGGTCTCGACGTCGACACGCTCGACCTGGAGGTCCTCAACGGTGAGCGTCCCTGGTTTTCTCCGATCACAACTAGGCTTTGACAATTTTTGTGAATCTCCGCCCTGCGGTCTCGCAAATAAACCCTGGTTAAATGGTTAGCTACAGCATCTCAAAAGATCCCTCAAAAGTTGCATTTGAGAAAAAAAATATTTTAGAAAACTAAATATCAGCTGCCAGATTCTCTAAACATATCAAAAATTTAACTTCTACTCCTCAAAACTTTGCACCATTTCCCTATTTTAGGCTAAGAGGAGCAAGTATCTCCATCTCCATCTCCACTACTATTAAACAAGCAAGTTATGACAGAAACATTTAATATCAGCCTTCCATTATCTCAGATCTGATGACCTACATTGCTCTAGCGCCGTTGTATCAATTAAAGCAACATAATTAGCAATCAAAAGACACCATCGTCTCTGCTTTTTTTATAAAAAAATCGAGTTGGTGATGATGGTGTACCTGCCATCTTGTAATATAGACTGTCCGGTATATCTGACGGATAGAAAGCAAATTATGACAATTTTACAAAAAGATACTTGCACATCTCTCCACATTTACAGATAAGGTCTTCTCTCGTTCATCCTTATCTCCCATAACTTTATTGTTGAGCAACTAAAAAAAAGCCTCTGGAACAATCTGGCATGGTGGCCACTGCTGGCGTCGTCCATCCCCATGCCTCCGCTCAGTCCGACCACCAATCACCACCACGCCCTACTCCTCCTCACCTTATCTCTCATCTTTCTCGAGATATCATTAGTTTTTACACATGAGATTACTCCCGCATGGGTCAATCACAACAGGTGTTTTGTAAAAAAAACGCATCTTGATGTTCCGTGTAATGCACGGGCATTTTGCTATTTAGCATTAAAAGAGCATTGTATGTACTCAATCAAATCTAGCATTCCAAAAAATAAAGCATAATCGAAATCACCATAACTAGCATTTCAAAAGAAAAAAAATCATATCAATCAAATCACCGTGACTAGCATTCCAAATAGTAAACATCATATCAATCATTCAAATCACTGTAATTAGCAATCAAAATAATAGTAATTTATCTCGCAAAAAAAAGTAATTTGGAATGTTTCCAACCAGTCTACCTCATACCTTGACCACGACCCTGTAAGATGTGAACCGTGCCACCACCGGTGGCCTCCGCCGACGCCCTATCACGCCTGCCCATCATCATCCCACCACTGAAATTTTAAGTTGTAGGAAACTTACGCATAAATCTGAACAATGATCAACAAGAACATACAAGGGACCAATTGAATAAAGGAAGTGTCGAGCACCGTTTGCAGGACTGATTATAGTAAATCTGAAGAAACAAAACACGTATTAATTAAAAAGTCCAAACATACAAGGGACCAATTGAACTACTAGTTAGTAAAAATTGAGGAGCCGCGCCGCCAAACCCTAACCGACACCTCCCATAAACCGTTTCAACCGTCGTTGCCATCGATTCGGCTCCCATCGACCCCTGTTCGGGCCGCCGTCATCGTGCCCCAACTCCATTGTGCCACAAGGCTTCCTTTCTAGGGAGCTTAGTAGATGTAGTGATAGTGATACATCTTACTTGTGATGGACTAATCCATATGCAAGATAACATACCATTTGTCTGACCATGTGAAGCATGTACCCTATTAATGGTTAACATGGGAGAATTTGAATCTTCGGGACATCAATGGCTCAGTCCCTAGTGATGGGCTTCAACGCGATTTGAGAGGGGGATAAATGAGTCATAAATAGAGTTGAGAGGGCTAATCTAGTGTACTTATGTTAAATTTGACCCAAATGGTGTTAAATATAAGACTTTTTAGATCTACTTTAGTGATATAACAAGTCTTATATTTCTTTACAGAGAGAGTATGTGTTATACTATGTGTAAATTTAGTAGGGGGGGGGGGGGGCATGGCCCCCTTTGGCCCTCACTAAGCTCCACTGGTGAGTGGATCTAATATCAAATACTTACCAGATCCACAGAAAACACCATGTCGTAGTAGGCCTTCTTCATGTACCATTCATGTCTCGTAGGTCTAACATAGGCTGCCCATGTGATATTAGAAAAATTGTAGCCGCCATGGAGACAATGAAAGCCAATACATTACCATAGACTTTTAAAAGCAAATCTCTCCGCAAGTGTCGGTGAACCATCAACCATGTAGCCGCCAGGTACAATAAAAGCTACAGCAGAAGTTACACACACTTCATATCTTGGGCTCGCCCCTGAGTCCCTCTCTTGGAGAACTACAGATGCCAATTCATGTGGGCAACACGACAATCGATTTTCCTTGTAGTTGATGTTCTCTGATCCGGAGTAGCTGTGAGACAGGATCTGTCCAAGTTGCTTAAGAAGGGCAAACAATATCGCAAAATGACTTCTATAGGGACATGGTAAGCCTTTGGCGTACTCTCAAGATAAAAGAACTATATCGCCAAATGCCCTCTTAAGATTTTTCGACCCAAAGATTTCCATGCCAGACATCATTAAAATTAGCATGGTACTAATGAATGATTTATTAATGGTCGACTTATTCTTGTATCTGGACAGGTCCTGCCTTACTGGTTGATGTTCCAAGACACACAAATATAACAGGTAGGACCTGGGGATGTCTTTATCGAAAAAAAGGACCTGGGGATATGTTCTCTCTTCTTTTACATGGAGATCAGCTCCTCTATTGCATCATCGATGATGAATCACCCTGTTAATGAACTTCTCATATCATGTCACAAGACTAATTTAACATGGCATTAGAGATACATGTACATTCTAATATGGCATCATATTCAAATATCAGTTACTTCATGTTTTCTTTACGGTGGGTTGTTGCAAATTCAGTATGCATTTACCAGCATCTTCATTTTGAAAAAATGGGAAGTGCTAATACTCTTTACTAAAAATATTCGATTCACATCAATGTTGTCTGGTATTTGGTATATCATGGCACCATTAATTCTATGCAGCTGAAGCAACGGAATCCGTAAGGACTTCTTTGATTCGCAAGGATTTTAAAATACAAGAATAGGAAAAACACATGATTTTAGTGTTATTGTACACATGAATATATATGAACAGAAACCGACAAGAATTAGCACCAACGATCTGATACACCGCAGAAAAACGAAGGGCGTAGAAAAAGAGGTTTGAGTGGATAGAAACTTTCCTCCAAAATGAACTGCAAAGGCTTCCTTAGGAAAAAAATCCTAAGGATTCCATTCATGTGAATCAAAGGACCTACATAGAGAAATTCCTAAGGATTCAATTCCCCTCTAACTCCATGCAGCTGAAGCAATGGAATCCCTAAATATACCAAGAGGTGTTCGTCGAGTTCTCTTCAGGACATTGAACACAGACAGGTATTGGCCTCTTTGAAGGGCAAATATTCAAGTAGATAATATATTTTTCACCATATCATTACTACATGCATGTAAGCAAATGATCTGTAGGGGGCTCATGTGGAAGCAAGGAGGTGATATGAGTTTTGTTGGATTTACGGAGGATGGTGCACAGTGGTTAGTTGACAACACCGACATCAAGCTTGTTGGTAAGTAAACAGGAGTTGTACTTGTATTGCACCAAATTTGTAAGGACCTTGTGAAATTGTGAACTGCCTAGGTTCAGTTAGTTCATGACCTTTTAACTGGTGGATCAATATATGCATACCTTATCTGATGTGAACTTAACATGGTGATGTTGGCAAATTATGCAGGGATTGACTATATATCAGTTGCTTCATTTGATCACTTGATCACTGCCCATGTGGCCTTCTTAAAAAATGCGGTAAGATGTGCCCTTTCATGGCCCCAAAAAGAAACCCATGTGAAATTGAAGCCACCAGTTATAACCTCATAGTTTTGCACTAGCCTCTGGTCATATGCTGCTTACTCCCCAAGTCTGACAACATGTTAGTACAACATTGCATGTTGACAAATTGATCAAAGTCTTGGTCCCACCAATTCCTTGCTGATCAACCTCTTTGGGGGGAACAATGCTTGCTTACGATATTCTAAATTCTAATGCTCTTCCAAAGACATTTCACATGTCGGTGACGAAGAACACAAATAACTTGCCTTCTTAGAGACAGCATCGTTGATCGAAAGTGTCGGTTGTTTTACTTTACTTTGCTCTGTCAGGATATCATCCCAGTCGAAGCCCTGAAACTAGACAACATCAACACTGGACTATACATGCTGCACTGCTTACCTCTAAGACTGGTTGGCTCCGAGGGTTCACCAATCAGGTGCATTCTTATCAAGTGATCACTTGGCGGCTGCTCTTGCCAAAGGCTGCAATGTATCGTGCCCACAGATGCTACACCCTAGCTAATGTCTTGGTGCACAGTCCATATCCGTAAAAATAAAATGCCTGATGTCATGTATACAAGTCTGTACTGCCAAATCAACATTCAAATTTAGCATTGCTAGAAATGAACAATGCACTTGTAGACCCATGGTAGTCTGGTTGCTCTGCCGCTGCCACGCTGTAACCATGTTGAACCACATGAGTTCAGCAACTTTCAAGTACATGTTGGCATGTTGCGCTCAAGCGATTTCTGCAATATTTTGACTCAACATGCCTATGATGAAATCTGTTAGTGCTACTACCATTGATGATACATTGAATGCTTACCGTTTGAGCCTCTGGGTGCACATGGATGATAGTGATGCAAAAGTAACATGAAAACTGTCATGCACAGCCATATTAGCCCCCCCGGGTAAAACCGTATGAGCCTCTGGGTGCACATTGATGCTAGCATGTCAATCTGACATGTCTCTGCATTTACCATCTCATCCGTAATAATCATATATATGAGTAAAGTAGTTGGATCATGTCTCGCAGGAGCAAAAAGAGGTGATTATGTCAATCTAATATATCTTTGGATGCTTACTATCTCATCAGTAACAGCGTACATTACTTTACAAGAGTAGGTGCAAAATTTGTATAAGCATAAGCGATTACTCAGGCAGATCAGTATATAGCAAGGCAAACTACAAAAGCAATGCCACAGAAAGGACTCGAATATGAGGGGAACCAGCTAATCGAAGAATGGCTAATGAATCTAATAACTACAACACCATTTGAGCGATATCGTCGATTGCCAACATTTCTATGTAGATGTTTTCCGCACCAATGACCCATCCAGCTACTAACTACAAGAGCGAAGAACAGGGGCCGCACTTGGTATATCACAAGCAGGTAGACCTATAACATCATTCTGATGGATCACGCCATTATGTTGCAAATAGTGAGCGTGAAGCCTTGAGTTAGTACTTGATCACATGATGCCGCAGCCACAGCTCATACATAACCATGTGGAATGCATCATAAGGAACAGGAGGTGAGTGCCATACAAAGTGTTTCTGAACCTGCAATCCCAAGTTAACATATTAGTATCGGACCGCACTAGAATTTTGATAACCATCTGGTTTTTGATGCACTACAGAAGAAATAAAATAGCCAAATCAAAGATTCCACTACTCAGTTCTTCACTCTTGTTTTTTCAGATTACAGCAGGTCAAGTCAAGTGACACATTAGAAACTCAGCCAACGAACAAGCTCTTGTTACTTTATACCCTGATCTTCTAGATTATTTTCCATCACAATAAGATTCAATATTTAACAGCGTCCTTCAGACCGTGAATAACTACTCTATCTTGTACAGTAGATAAAGGAAGATGAATGCATAAATTGGAAGTTCTATAATGACAAAATCTACTACTCAATTATTTACTCAAAAGATGCATACCTGAACTAAAGATTTGTGCAATGCAACAAATTCTTGCTGTGATATAGATTTCAGGATACTCTTTAGTTCATATACGTCGCGCTCCTTAAGTACAACCGCGAACTTTCTCCAGTCAAGAACATCATTGAAAGGCAAATCATAGTAGTCCGACAAAATAACTAAAAGGACACAATAGAGATAATTAGAAAATAATAATATGGGGATCACTAAAAAATTTGATTGCCCGTGAAAGGGGAATAACAATAAGGAATGGTCATGGGTGCCATGTATTTTGCATGTCAAAAATACTAACCAGGGACACAGCCATAGTGTATTGAATCAGATATACGAGCACTATTAACTTGAGAGCCACCAGGGCAGATACAGAACTTAGTACGGTAGAACTGCTTCTGATAAACTAGCTCTCCAATAGCTCTATTAATCCGATTATTGCTAATAGCAAGTTCTGTATCATTCTCCCAGACTCGTGCCAAAATAACTCGTATTTTCGAGTTGCGATGACCAGCCCAAAATCCAAGATTTGTCCTGTTTTCCATTGCAAAAGAAGCAATTTAAGATACAGATATGTCAAGAGTGCAGATAGATGTTTACGCTGCAGTGGCGACCAGTTTATGGCTATCAATTACGAGTAACTTCCAAATTCCAATATGCACTAGAAGAAAACATTTATCACAGTTTAAAATCATGTGCACAAACAAATCAGATTCAAAGAGTATAAACCTCAATGCATAAATAAGGAGACAGTTGGGTAATAAGAGTCTGTGTTTCACAAAATTTCTGACACAAAACAGATTCATTTTGCAAGAGGGTATAGTTATTAGAGTCATACTGGAAGGCACCAAGCCACTAAGTCTAGAAAAAAAAGTACTCAAGAGTTCCAAACATTTAAATACTATGAATTTCTGACGTGTTTCAATGAAATAAAAACTGGCATACAGAATTTTTTTCTTTTATATCACATATAGAGGCCATTATAATTACATTATATAGCACAACAAATAGGAAGTGCCATTTCAACCTGTTTTCAATGTCATTCCCTCCTTCAGGTAGAGCAAATGGCTGTAATACTTGAGGCAGAGCAACATCCTTATGAGGGATAAAGTCAACATTATAGCTTGGCGAGCAGACAGCTCTAATAGAGTTCTTCACCATGAATGGAAGTCCTTCGAACGCCCTCACGCCTACATCATGGCATGCGACAAAGAAGTGGTCCGCTCCTAGTGTGCGGTTCCAGTAAGGGTACTTGCTTATCAAGCCTTCAACATAATCCTTAACTATCATTGTCATATTTTCATATGAAGTACCCTGCAAGACTAAAAATGATGCATGTAAATAAATATCAGAGCAATTCAATCACAAAACCAGAAGAACACACACAAAATAACCAGCGTGTGAAATTCAAGTCACTTCTGGTCATACAGCTGTTCGCTAAACTTAAAAAGAAAAACAGTTCAACCATGCCTATCATAAGAAAGAATAATTTTCCATTACTTTTGCGAGCAAGCAAGTTGAAACACCGAACATCTTACGTCAATATATAGCCAACCAATTCAAACAGCATCTCTACAACATCGTTCTACTTTTGTTTCAGCTGTGATCTGTGTACACATTAACTAACAATACCGTCAGAATCCATATTACTTCAGAGTTTGACAATGCGCGTAGCTCGCCAGCCACACAGTAATATCCGAGTATACCAAGAACAGTACAATACTGAAGGCGTTATAATGCGGTAAAACGAGCAGTAGGGTTACAGAGAGTGTAGGGGGGACCTTGCCGCGCATCTTGTGGGGCGAGATGGGGACGAAGAAGAGGTCGGCCTTGTCGGGGTCTTCGGTACGAAAGCGGCTCTCCCGGATGTTCTGGAAGAAGTATCCCTCGCTGGCGTACTTGCCCGTGAGCTTCCGGGGCGTCTGGTAGAAGGTCTTGGGGTCGCCGTCCGGGTAGATGTAGACCTTGAAGCTCCGCTCCATCTCCGCGTACCCCGCCGCGAACGCCTCGGGCGAGTGGTAGACCGAGGGGCGCGACGCCGGCAGAGGGGAGGAGAAACGGAGGCGGCGGGGTTCATCTAGGGGGAGGGAGGGGGCCGCGGCGGGGCGGAGCGAGCGGAGGGAGAGGAAGGATATGGAGAAGAGGGCTACCGCGGCGAGGAGGAGGAGCGCGCGGGGGAGGGGCGAGGAAGCGCCGGCGCCGGCGAGGCGGCCGGCCATCGCCGGAGGTGAGGAGAGGAGTGGAGCGAGGGAGTGATGCGGGGTGCGGATTGAAAAGGAAAGGCGACTCGAGGGTGTTTTCTGTAACAAAGAGGCCGTTTAGATCTTCTCATTCTTCTGCGATCCTTTTGTTTTTCCTAATAAAAACTTATTTATGTCCTGGTCGATCTCAAGCGTTGGTTTCTGGATAAACGGCTCTCAGTTTGTGCACGCTGTCATCAATATTCTTTTTTTTTTGCGGGAGTCATCAATATTCTTGGTACACCACAGCAAGCAAGCCAAAGAAAAGTACTGTATGCGCATGCAAGAGCATCTTCAAAGGGTGATGTAAAACAACGACCTCCAACAGATGATGTATCTCTATTTGGTGCCAAAAATTTACATCAGCCCCAAATTTTAACTCCAAGTGGAGTATATATTTGCAACACAACTAGCAATTGCCAGTGGCAAATCTAGCAGGACATTGGAGGGTAGGTCTAAAACATAAATTTCCTAAGTCTAATTAGCAAATGCATTGCAATTGTTGCATGTAAAGCACCATAATATATACTTGTCAAGTGGTATTTTTAGCTTAAATAGGATTTTTGGAGGGTAGGCTTAAGCCTATCGAAGCCTCCCTAGTGGAATCGCCACTGGCAGCTGCCCTAAAACAAAAACGGTTGTGGCGGGAACCCAACACTCACTGTGAACTTTCACCACTGTCGCGTCGCCTCACCCTGCCTCCACGTCGGCCACTGTGAAGCCTCTCGTCCCATACCGCTCCTCGGCGATCTACGTCGCGGCCGCCCAACCCCTCCGAGCTGGCTACGTGGTTGTGCCATCCTACCGACGTTGTCCACCCCATCCCATCCCTTGGTGT